GCGTGCCAGGGACAGGAGGAGGACGCTGACGCGAACTGCGACCACTAGCGCGAGCAGCACGAACAGGCGACGCGGGACAGCTCAGGTGGATGTAGCTTTCGTAATTTCGTCTCCTCCACTCAGTGCGTCCCGTCAGGTAGCTGCGTCGGGTCAGGTGTTTGCTGCAGCGTCCAGGTCTGGTCCTGAGTCTGCCCCCTGCTCGTGTCGCCTCCTGTCTCACGAGACTCTCCTCTGGCACCACCGCCTTGGTCACCCCTCTCTGCTTCGGCTCAGAGGCATGGCCTCCCGTCTTCTTGTTTCTGGTCTCCCCCGGTCCCTCCCTCCCCTTCCTCAGGGCCCTGGCCCTACCTGTGTCCCCTGTGTCGAGGGGCGCCAGCGGGCTGCCCCTCACTCCTCCCAGTTTCCTCTGACAGAGGCCCCGTTGCAGACGCTTCACATGGACGTGTGGGGCCCGGCTCGCGTCCGTGGACAAGGTCACGAGCGCTACTTCCTGCTTGTTGTTGACGACTACTCGCGTTACACAACAGTCTTCCCCTTGCGCAGCAAGGGTGATGTCACTGAGGTGTTGATCGACTGGATCCGCGCAGCTCGTCTCCAGCTCAGGCAGAGCTTTGGTTCGGACTTTCCTGTTCTGCGTCTGCACTCGGACAGAGGCGGAGAGTTTTCGTCTGGCCTTCTGAGGGCCTACTGTCGCGCACGAGGAATCTGTCAGACCTTCACGCTTCCGGACTCCCCGCAGCAAAATGGGATTGCTGAGCGCCGCATTGGCATGGTCATGGACGTCGCTCGTACGTCTATGATGCATGCGGCTGCTCCCCATTTTCTGTGGCCGTTTGCGGTGAGGTACGCGGCGCATCAGATCAACCTACACCCCAGGGTCTCCAGGCCGAAGACCTCCCCAGCCTTGCTGTGGACGGGGAAGGTTGGCGATGCGTCGGTGTTCCGGGTCTGGGGATCTCGGGCGTTTGTCCGCGACTTGTCTGCAGACAAGCTGTCCCCTCGTGCTGCTCCTTGCATCTTCCTTGGGTTCCCCCTTGACGCGCATGGGTGGCAGTTCTGCCACCCCACCTCTAGCCGTGTTCTGTCCTCCCAGGACGTCACGTTTGACGAGTCAGTCCCCTACTACCGCCTCTTCCCCTACCGCACTCCGTCCCTCCCCCTGCCGCCGCTCTTCCTTGTACCAGGTCCCCCTCCGGTAGACCCCCTCCCCCCACAAGGTCCGTCCCCTTCATGTGTGTCCCAGGTAGACGCAGTCGAGCCTGTCAAGGTCACAGGTGACTCTGGTGCTGCTGAGGGTGCTGAGCCTGGGGGTGCTGAGCCTGGGGGTGCTGAGCCTGGGGCTACTGAGACTAGGGGTGCTGAGCCTGGGGGTGCGGAGTCTGGGGGTGCTGAGCTTGGGTGTGCTAAGCCTGGGGGTGCTGAGCTTGGAGCTGCTCCGCCTGGAGGTTCGTCTCTGCGGGAGCCACTTTCTCCACGCGAGCTGCGCGAGTGGTTTGCCCGGCGCTGGAGGCGTGCTGCTGGTGTTGGAGGTTCTTCGGCTTCTGAGGGTGCTGCTGTCGCGGGTCCCGGAGGTGCTCGTACTGGGAGTACTGGAGCTGCTGGGCCTGCGGGTTCGACTGGAGTTGGTGCTGCTGAGGGTGTTGGAGCTGAGACTACTGCTGGCGGTCCTGCTGCGGGTCCTCCTGGTACTGCTGGAGGCTCTGGCGCTGCTGGTGGTGCAGCTGGAGCGGGTGCTCCTGCTAGGGGTACAGGTGCTGTACCTGCTGTGTCTGGCGTCGCCGCGCGGCCTCGACCTTACTTCGTTCCACTCCTGCAGCAGGTTCTTGGTCTTTCGCCTTCTAGTGGTCCCCCTCCTTCTTTAGAGTGTCCACAGCCAGTCCCGTCACAGTTACAGTTGCAGCCTACCTCCCCTTTGCCTGCTCCTTCTCCCTACGCTGGTCCTACTGGAGGTCTTAATAAGCATCGTGAGCCTGCGTCTCGCCCTGCGTCGCCTGTCCGTGCTGCTCGCGCTAGTGGTCGTGGTTCGCGTCAGCGTCCTCCTCCTGTCCCTGGCACGCACAGGATGTCTCTGCGTCCATCCACTGCTCCTCTGCGTGCCCCTTTGCCTTCTCCTCCTGAGTCCTCTCTTCCTTTACTTGCCGACCCGGAGTCGGACTCTCTTCGTGCTGCCAGTCCTACTGTCACGCGTCTCCTGGTTACTACCGTCACTGACCCTTCTTTCGAGTCCACTGCTGTGTCTGCCCTAGTTGCTGAGCTCGTCGACTTTGCTGCTCGCTGTCGCCTAGACTACGCTGCTAGTCTTGTCGCTAAGTCTGAGTCTGTCTGTCCTCTGTCCGTCGGGGGTGAGTGTGCCCTTGGCACGGACGTCCTTGAGGACAGGCAGGAGGATTTCCAGTGCTTGGCCGCTGCTTCACCTCATCTCGTGTCCGTACGGCTTACCCCTGAGGGAGACCCGGATGCACTTGACATCCCGACTCCGCGCTCTTACGCGGAGGCGATAGAGGGTCCCTACTCTTCTCAGTGGCAGGCAGCTATGGATGCAGAGATGGCTTCCTGGAAGTCCACAGGCACCTACGTTGACGCTGTCCCCCCTCCTGGGGCGAACATCGTCAGTGGCATGTGGATTTTCAGGGTGAAGCGGCCGCCGGGTTCTCCGCCTGTCTTCAAGGCGCGTTACGTGGCTCGTGGCTTCAGTCAGCGGCAGGGAGTTGACTACTTTCAGACCTTCTCTCCCACCCCGAAGATGACCACTCTTCGGGTACTGCTGCACGTTGCTGCTCACCGTGACTACGAGCTGCACTCTCTCGACTTCAGCACAGCTTTCTTGCAGGGCAGCCTGCACGAAGAGATCTGGCTGCGCCGCCCACTTGGCTTCACTGGGTCTTTCCCTCCTGGTACCCAGTGGAGTCTCCGGCGTCCAGTCTACGGTCTCCGCCAGGCGCCACGTGAGTGGCACGACACACTGAGGACTACGCTTGCGGCTCTTGGGTTTGCTCCTTCTACTGCCGACCCGTCGCTGTTTCTGCGCACCGACACTTCTCTGCCGCCGTTCTACATCCTCGTGTATGTCGACGACCTGGTCTTTGCCATAGCTGACACTGCTGGACTCGCCTACGTGAAGTCGGAGCTGCAGAAGAGACACACGTGCACAGACCTGGGTGAACTGCGCAGCTACCTTGGCTTGCAGATCACCCGGGACAGAGCACGCCGCACCATTACCCAGACTCAGTCACTCATGGTGCAGCAGGTCCTTCAGCGCTTCAGCTTCACGTACTCCTCGCCTCAGGCCACTCCTCTGCCTACTCGCCACTCGCTCTCAGCTCTGCCTTCGGATGAGTCCGTAGAGTCGAGTGGCCCGTATCTAGAGCTTGTTGGCTGCCTCATGTACCTGATGACCTGCACACGACCTGACCTTGCATACCCTCTTAGCATTCTCGCACGCTATGTTGCTCCTGGGAGACACAGACCAGAGCACATGGCTGCAGCGAAGAGGGTGTTGCGCTACTTGTGCAGTACGTCGGGCATGGGACTAGTGCTTGGAGGGCGGATTCCAGTAGTCCTCACTGGGCACGCGGACGCTTCTTGGGCTGACGACCAGGCTACGCAGCGGTCGTCACAGGGTTACACCTTCAGCCTTGGTTCCGGTTCTGTTTCGTGGCGGGCTACTCGCTCGTCTTCTGATCTCGGCTCCAGTTGTGAGGCTGAGATCTACACCGGGGCCATGGCTGCACAGGAGCTTCGCTGGCTCACCTACCTGCTGACTGACCTTGGAGAGTCGCCTCGTTCTCCTCCAGTCCTGTACGTAGACAACAAGGCCATGCTGGCCTTGTGTTGAGAGCAGAGACTGGAGCATAGAACAAAGCACATTGCTCTCCGCTACTTCCTTGCTTGTGAGCTACAGCAGCGTGGTCAGTTGCGGCTTGCGTACGTGGCCTCTGAGGCCAACACTGTTGATGTCTTCACCAAGGCACTTGCGCCTTGTGATCATCAGCGCTTCTGCACCCAGCTGAGTCTTGTACCTGTCTTGCCTCACTTGCTCACCTCTTGACCTTGCTTGTACTGTTACATATATCTATACCTGCTCTTGCTTGTCTAGTCTTATATATATATGTACTCCTGCATGTTAACTGGCCTTGTGGCCTTGAACTTGTGCTCGGAATGTGTGGTGACTTTGTGATCCACCCTGAGCTTGCTTTGCTTTGCTTGACTGGTCTTGTGACCCCTTGTTCTCCCCCACTTTGCCTATGGGGGTGTGTCAGAACATATAGCTTGTGCTCATTGTGTAGGCTATAGTGGGGTAGCCCATAAGGGGTACAACCCAATTAGGGTTAGCATTTGTACTCAGTTCATTCATAGTTCATTCATCCTCGTTTCAATTTTCTCACTCCCGTCCCTCCCGTCCCTTCTTCCTCCTCGTGCATCCCATTCCTCCCCGCCAGCGTCTCATTGTCTCTTCGCACAACGCAGCAGTCGGCCTTGAAGGCACCACTGCATGCACCACCACCACCACCACCACCTCTCCAAGCACCACCACTCCAATCACCACCTCCCATAGCCGGATCAAACTCCCCCTCAACATCCCTCCACTGTGCCTGCCATACATTGGCCAGCCATCTGCCACTGGGACTGCTCCCAGAGCTGTTGCGGCTGAGTGTCTGGCTGCTGCTACACTTGATGCTAGTGCTGCTGCCATGGAACAAGGAGCAAGCATGGGTGGAAGGACGGAAGCAGGAGCAGGCAGGCTGAAAGCATCAGGAGCAGCAGGAGCAGCAGGAGCAGCAGGAGGAGCAGGAGCAGCAGGAGTAGCAGGAGTAGTAGGAGCAGCAGGAGCAGCAAGAGCAGCAGGAGCAGCAAGAGCAGCAGGAGGAGCAGGAGCAGCAGGAGGAGCAGGAGCAGTGGGCGATGCAACCACATCAAGACACGAGGACGGTCGTGAGGCACCAGCGGCAATTGAAGAAGAGTCAGAGAGCGACGCAGCAGGGTGCTTGCAAGTAGAGGGGATGGGGACTAGTAGTGGAGATACAGAGGCAGTGTTTGGCGGAGAGAGTGATGAGGGACGTGTTCAGGGAGGGGCTGCCTTGTTGCAAGGACATAATGGATGGAAGGGACAGGCGTGGGCATCAGCAGAGGGAGGCGAGTGGGCGGTGGTGAAGCATCAGTTGGAGCAGTCGAGGTTGCTTGCCCGCTCTCCCACCCCACAACAGCTACAGGTGCGCTCTTATGAATCCTCAATAATATTTCATCTCTTTTCGCGTGATTGCGCAACCCTCACAGCCACTGCAGGAGAGGCAACCTCTAGATTGTGTCAGGTATTTCATTTTATTCCGCACACCACGTTTCTCGTCTGTCCCTTTGTGGCAGGTGTGTCTAGTGGCATGGCTGGTGGAGGTGCACATTGATTCTCGCTGCGTCTCCTCCATCTGTCATTGATCTAAAATTATCTTGCACGCCATGCTCTCCTCGGTGCTTGGCTTCCCCCCGGCAGGTGTGTCTGGTGGCATGGCTGGTGGAGATGCACATTGACTCTCGGCACCTCTCCTCCATCTTCGCTGCTGTGGACGAGGAAGTGAAAAGCGCAGCAGCGTAACTGACTGCAGACTGGCTCTTCATGATTCTCTGTTGATTGAGTGATCGCACCCACGCCAAAGAGGCTTGGGGTTGTAGCGCTGATTTGAAAGCAACTTTAGTTGCAGGCTCAACTTTGTTATAAGCATGTTGAAAGTGTGACTTGTTGTAAGGAAATTCCCTTTTCCTTACTTCGCATCTCTGCTCAACGCGTACATCACTGTAGCACCTCAGTCAGCACCGTTACCACTCACAACCATCGCATCATTCATCATCCCGCCATTTTCGCACATCGCATCCCGACCTCACGGCTCGGCTGGTAACCCGCGCTCCGGGCCTACGCTTCGACACGTTCCCAACCTCAGTCCCAGGCTCGTCGCGCGACCATTACCGTTACCACTGAAGTTTCGCTATATATTCTTCGCTCATACCTTCGCTCATTGTACTCTTGCTTCGATAGTCCAATTCTCGCTCGTTCACTCACTTGCACTCGTAACACTTGGTATTCAGAGCCTACGATCCCATCTCGGACCGCATCCACACCTTCACTTCCCCACTATCTCAATTTTCGGGGGGGGTAGACGTCTCTCAGCGATACAGCACCGCCGCTCGTAGTGCTCTCTCGCAAGCACGCACGGCCACGACCGAGGCTCTCGCTGAGCTTGCCCGACACCCCCGCCATGGCCGATTTCACGCTCGCCACATTGACGCAGGAGCAACTTGATCGTCTCGTGCGTCAACTGGAGGATTCGGCGCTTGAAATCGAGACCCTCACGGCAGAACGTGACTCCGCCCGTCAACAATCCACGATGAACGTACCGACGACATCCCACGCACCAACAAACGCATCTGCACGTTCGGATGAGCCGATCATCATCTCGTCCGGCACACCAACACAACACGACAGCACGGGACAACGCTCAGGCGCAGCCAGTGAGGGCGCCGCCCAGCCGATGCCTGGCATGGGAGGAAACAGGATCGCACCAAGCCCACGGGAGCCTCGAGAAGTCCGTCGGCACGTGGAATTTGCGGCAACAAGTGGCAAACAACCCAACATGGCACCAATGCCGCTCAAGCCGCAACGCCCGCCCTGCTTTGACCCAAGTCAACGCGGCGGTCCGACAGTTCAATCGTGGGTCTTCACAATGAACGTTTTCTTCGACGCCAATTACGTCGAGTCGGACGCCGCAAAGATCCGGTATGCGGTTTCACTGCTAAGAGGCCCCGCCATGGACTGGTGGCGAGTCATCGTGACGTCCCCACGCGCCTACGAGCCACCGTCGCACGAGGAAGGGCCCTCGGGTCCAGCTGTCACCTGGAGTTCGTTCTGCGAGACCGCCCAATACAGCACGTGGGATGCGTGGTGCGCAGGACTTCAGGCGCGTTTTGAGCCGATCGCGGCTTCAATTTCGGCGCGTCAGAAACTGCGCACTTGGCGCCAGCTCGGGTCAGTTCAAGACTATACCAGCGGTTTTCTCGCACTTTGCGAGCAGGTCGGATACATGCACGAAGCGGAGCGGGTTGACCGTTACGTGGGAGGGCTGAAGCCGGACATCTCGCACGAGATAATGCTGCGCGGACTCTCGAATTTCAACGAGATTCTCGCGCTCGCCGAGAAGATCGACATTCTACGCCGACCGAGACCGGGGTCCTATTACGGACATCGTCCTCGGGGACCGACCGAGCACGCCACTGTACACGCCGTCGCAACGAATGCAGCTGCCGCACCGTTTAAGGGGCGCTGCTTTGCTTGCAACAGGCCGGGCCATCGCAAGAGCGAATGCCCAGAGGAGCTGAGGCGCCGAGGAGCAGAGCAGGGGAGGGAGTCTCAGAGGCAGGGAAACGCCAGCAGTCAGTAGAAGTTGGGCCAACTACTGACGAGACTGCCTGCTCGCCCAACCACACCGACCCTCACCGAGTCACAGTACCGATTCATGCCATCGATCGGGCTCGGATGAATAAGGAGGGTACAGCGACGGATTGCCCGGTACTAATCTACGGGAAAATACAGGGAGCAGCAGTGAAGATTTTTATTGACGGAGGAGCAAGTCACAGCTTAGTTAATACCGCAACCGCACGGAAATTACAGTTAACACTTAACCGATGCTTACCTGAGATAGATGCACGCTTAGTCGACGGCACGCCACTGGCTATACGGGAAAAGGTGGAGAGAGTAAAGGTCCGCTGCGGAGGGAACTTCGGGTTTACACAGGAAATGCTCGCAACGACACTGGATGGGCACGACATTTTATTGGGACGTGATTGGCTGCGACGGTATAACCCACGAATTGACTGGACGACGGGTAGCTGCACAGTGCGAAGTAGTGGTAACTGGGTCGTCCTACCTCGCTGGCAGCCACCCGAGTCTTCGACGGTCCAGGTCAACGCCATCACGATGAAACGGGCTGTCGCTGCTGGAGCTGACGTGTACGCAGTGGATATCGCATTAGTGGAAAAAGAGGACCGGCCGAGTGATTTGCAGAAACTGTTGGCAGCCGTACCACCCGAACTACAGGCACTACTGAAACGGTTCCCGGGTATCTTTCCGGACGACTTACCGCAAGGGCTGCCACCTCAGCGGGCGCATGACCATAGGATCGAGTTAGAACTGGGGGCACATCCAACTGTACAGCGCCAATTTTGACTGACACAGCCCGAGCTCGACGAGCTAAGGAAGCAGTTAGATTACCTGTTAGAGAAGCAGTTTATCCGACCGAGCTCGTCACCGTTCGCCGCACCGATATTGTTCACACCGAAAAAAGACGGGGGGTTTCGCATGTGCATCGACTACCGAGCGCTTAACAGGGTAACAGTAAAATCACGATACCCCATCCCCCGCGCCGACGAACTGATCGACCAGCTGCGAACCGCACGAGTATTTTTGAAAATAGACTTACGGGGAGGTTACCATCAAATTTGGGTCGAACCATCGGACTGCGCCAAGACAGCATTTAGGACTAGGTACGGGTCATTCGAGTACACGGTGATGCCTTTCGGGCTGACCTGTCAGATTATCATAGCTGATGCATGTTTGTAGGCTGTAGTGGGGTAGCACATATGGGGTACAGCTTCCTAGGGTTGTATTTGTACCCAACTCTGACTTAGTCATTTCATTCCTGTTCTCTTCTTTCACATGGTATAGAGCGAGTCCTTCCTAAGGACCGTTTTTTTTTAGGGCCCACCGAAGCGCGCCCCGAGGCGCGCATATTTTTTAGCGACCCTTCGGGTCGCCATTGCTCTCGCGGACCCGCTGTCCCTCTGACGCGGCCCCGCCACCCCTGCTTGACGCGGCCCCGCCGCCTCCTCTGCAGCGGCCCCGCCGCCTCCTCTGACGCGGCCCCGCCGCCCGCTAATCGCGGCCCCGCCGCCGGCTCTGACGCGGCCCCGCCGCCGGCTCTGACGCGGCCCCGCCGCCCGCTGATCGCGGCCCGCCGCCGGCCCTGACGCGTCCCCGCCATCGGCTCTGACGCGGCCCCGCCGCCGCCTCCTGATCGCGGCCCCGCCCCGGCTCTCTCGCGGCCTCGCCGCCGGCCCTGACGCGACCCCGCCCCGGCTCTCACGCGGCCCCGCCGCCGGCTCTCTTGCGGCCCCGCCACCGGCTCTCTTGCGGCCCCGCCCCGGCTCTCTTACGGCCCCTGCCGCCGGCCCTAACGCGGCCCCTGCCTCGGCTCTCTTGCGGCCCTGCCGCCAGCTCTGAAGCGGCCCCGCCCCGGCTCTCACGCGGCCCCTGCCCCGGCTCTCAAGCAGCCCCGCCGCCGGCCCTCAAGCGGCCCTGCCGCCGGCTCTGACGCGGCCCCGCCCCGGTTCTTTCACGCGGCCCTGCCGCCCCACCTGCAGCAGTCGGGCAGCCGTGCAGCCGAGCCGCCCGGAAGCCGAGCCGCCATACGCTCGAGCCGCCCTGTCGCCGAGCCGCCCGGGAGCCGAGCCGCCCTGCCCCCGAGCCGCCCTGCCGCCGAGCCGCCCGGGAGCCGAGCCGCCCTGCACCCGAGCCGCCCTGCCGCCGAGCCGCCCGGGAGCCGAGCCGCCCTGCACCCGAGCCGCCCTGCCGCCGAGCCGCCCGGGAGCCGAGCCGCTGTGCACCCGAGCCGCCCGGTCGCCAAGCCGCCTTTCTGCAGAGCTGCACGACCTGCCCTGCCTGGTGAGCACAGTCCCACTACCACTGCGTGCTCTTCCCCTACTGCTTGCACTGCTTCGCTGTCGTCACCATGGCTACCCCTAGTGTCCTAGCTTTTGACGCTGAGGGTCGCGCCACTGATTTTGAGGTCTGGTTAGACGACCTGCAGCTGTTCTTACAGTGCGACAGAGCAGACGGCCTTTCTCTCTTTGACCTCACCTCTGGCGCCTCTCCTGCTCTTGCTGCTGATGCTGATCCCACTGTGCGCTCTCAGTGGGCCACCCGCGATGCTGCTGCACGTCTTGCTGTGCGTCGCCACCTCCCTACCTCTGAGCGCGCGCACTTTAGTCAGTACAAGAGTGCTCAGACCTTGTACGACGCTGTAGTTGCGCGCTACTCCTCCCCTGCCACTGCTGCACTGAGCCGTCTCATGCTTCCCTACCTCTTTCCTGACCTCTCTGCCTTTCCCACTGTCGCTGACCTCATTACGCACCTCCGCACTAGTGACACTCGCTACCGCGCCGCCCTTCCTGCTGAATCCTGCGCTAAGAACCCACCCCCCATGTACATCGCTCTCTACTACGTAGTCGCGCGCCTCCCTGACTCCCTTCGCGTCGTGAGGGACCACTTTCTCGCAGTCTGTCCCACCACCCTCACCGTCGACCTCCTCGAGAAGGCCCTCCTCGCAGCGGAGAAGAGCATAGTCGCTGTAGGTCCTTCTCGTGGTGACCCTCGCACCCCCATCTTTGAGGGGTGCTCTCCTTCCCCCTTGCTGCCCTCTGTTGCCTCTGCTGCTGCTGCCGACCTGCTTGGTCTTGAGTCGGTCGGCGCGGTGTCTGCCCCTAGTGGGAGACGTCGCTCCAGCAAGGGCAAGGGGGGCAAGGGCGCGGGTGGAGCTGGAGGGGGCG